GCGAGAGATTCCCTTGCCACGCTCGCATCTGCGCACACATAACTAGTTTGTATCGGCTGTCGATGCGCTGAGGTTGAAAGATGCAGCTCCACCGGACAAAATTCCTATAAATTTACCTGTCCTCCCAGACCCTTCTGGTGGCACGCTAGAAAAAAGAAATAAAGAGAAAGGAATTAAAGACGACATGGAATACATTATATATCTTATGAGAAGCCAATAAACCAAACCAGCCCCGATGCGCAGCCAATGGATATCATCCGTCCCTGGACATTATATACAACCAGTCGGTAATTCGGTGGTAGCCAGAGTACGTTCTGGCCGTTGTAAGTAATCCAAGACTTATCTTGTCCCAAGCTATAGCCATAGCTCTCTGAATTATCTAGTACAACTTGGCTTTTGGTAGTTTTTGTAAATATTTTAATACGTTCAACGTTGGTACATAGGTAGCGATTGGTAGGATCAAACGAGATATCGGTTATCCTAGTAGTAGTAGGGATCGTTTGGAGGCAGCTCCCCGACGCCGGATCCCAGATCTTGATCGTTTCGTCATCCGAACCGGACACAAGCCGCTGGCCATCTAGCGAGAAGGTCACGGAGTAAGCGGAGCCGCGATAGCCTTCTAGGGTCCGGAGGCATGCATTCCAATCTAATTCCACAGCCGGCTTAGTTCGAATCCATTCAGGTTCCTCTGCTCTGAAATTCCTCTTTATCAAGCTATTCCTTGGGGCAAATACAAGCGCTGATATGTATGCTTGAAGTGGAGCTTGCTCTATTATTGACTTATAAGCTAGAGCAAACCGGTAAGCATCCCAAACAAGCTTTGATAACTGCGACTGATCATTACCTCCCTATATCTTTAGTTAGACTAGTTCCTAGTGCGGAGTTAGACTTATACTTACTAGCAGGCCCTCGAGCTTTCTAATAGCAACAACGCCCGCAGGCATAGCTTGGAGTAGACTTAGAGCTTCCAGCCAGTAATTGAATAGACCGAACACGGTCAATTGATGGCTACGTCAAATGAAGCGATTCACGGATTGCACAGGTCAATGTCACAGGAGAAGCAGCGATTGGTAACAAAAGTTGAGTCAAAGAGAGCGAATGTCTCAATTTGTCATTTGCCCAAAATCCCCCGCCAATGTTTTTCTAAAAAGCATCTACATCAGAGAGTGAAACAGATAGATAGCTACCCTGCTGCTCTCAGCCCACTTTCACCTGTCACCACCCATGGGATGGTGAAGGGATCCAGTTGTCTGAGATTTAGGACTATGTACCTGGTAGGCTGTGTGCTCCTTGCACCAACAACCGAAGAAAGGTTTGTCATCAAATCGTTCGTAAAAAAACCACAGTCATACCAGTTCCGGCGCCAATCTTTTTCGCCTTGCGCGCCCCCTTTGAAAATTTTCTTTTCCAATCCGTTCCCGCACGCGCCAGTCGCCGTTCCGTCCTGTATCTTTGTGTGTGGTATCTTTCTAAGTGGTTGTCCCTCTGTCCCCTTTGTTGTGTGTTGTTCCTATGTTCCCTTGCCAAGAAAGAATTGACGTTGAAGAAGAAGAAAGCATGCAATAAAGGGGTGTGAAGGAAGAAAGGGTCATAAAAGTCATCATCGCCCTGCGAGGTCGTTCCGTCCTTTGTCCAAAAAGAGACGCTGGAGAAGATTCGCGTGAACCAATTTTTTGTCAATGCGCGGTAAACAAGTTTACGCGCCTGTGTGAGAAGCAAAAATGAGAAGAGTGCCTTGCTGTGAAGGCACTTGATAGTGTGACCAATCCTTTAGTCGGTGAAAGCCCATTCGACCTTCTTGCGGCCGTCGGTAAGGGCACCAAAGACGTCGAGGAAGGCCTTCTTGGAGACGTCGATGTCGTTGAAGGCGCATCCCATGCACTTGTCACGGACAGTGGCGGTAACAGACTTGCCGTTGGCCTTGATGACAACCTTCCTGTTGCAGTAGGGGTTGCCGTTGGATTGGGTACCCATCATCTCGTGGGAAAGGGCCACGATGTTTTCGGACTCGTCCAAGCCATTGTCATCGAAACCGCAGGCGCCCAAGCCGACATCGTAGTAGGTGAGGTCACCAGTGTGGGAGCTGCTAGTGGTGGAAGAAGACTCTATCTTGACAGTCTCGACGGCCGGTGGGGAGGCAACGGTGTTGGCGGCGGGCTGGACAACAGGGGCCGGGGCAGACGAGCTCTCCACAGGAGGAGGAGGAGGGGCAGGAGCCACGGTCTGAACCGGAGGGGCGGGCTGGCTAGAGCTGGTGATAGGAGCAGGAGCAGGAGCCTCAACCTTGGGAGAAGAGGCGGGAACCACTGGAACCACGGGCGCAGCGCTAGAGTGTGCCTGCGAAACGGAGGTGATGAGGGTTGAGGTGGCCTTTGGAGGAACGATCACCTGGGTGGTGGTCGCGTCAATGACCTTGGTGACGGTCTCATAGACGGTTTCGGTCACCCACTCCGTGACAAGGGCACGCTTGTTGTGGTGACCATGGTCCTTCTTCTGGTGGTTGTGGCCGTGGCGAGGCTGGGCAAGAGCAACTGAAGCCAAAAGGCTGATAATAACGGTGGCCGACTTCATGTTGATGATTGTTGAAGTTCGAAAAGGATTGTGATATGTCTCTCGTCAACGAGAAACTGATGGTTGTGTCTTGGTTGTCTTGGCTACCGTAAAGGGAGGGTATAGGTAGGCAGAAGGATCCTTGGGATTGTCCGTGCTGTATAAGCTGTTGGAATGTGAAGGATCGCCAATATCGAGGTTGATATTCAAGGAAGGTGATTCTCGTAGCCGGCTCGAGGAAGGAATGTACAGCTGATGTTCCCAAAAGGTTCGATCAGCAAAGAGCAGGGGAGCTTGTGAGTAGCGAAAAGATGAGATGGAGGAGGGAAAACGGGCGTGAACCTTTATAAGGAAAAGGACCAGTTCGATCTTAGGGCTGGGGGAAACAAAATGAAGGGGGGACGGGTGGTCCGGGCGAGTATGGCAACGCCTGGGATGGCCCAAAAAGGCTGATGATCCGGCTGGAGGCAAGCAATGCTCAGCCATTTCCCTTGTTTTTTTCTCACCCCTGCCCCTGCTTGGACGTCTGAATGCCTCCACGCGAGTGGGCCCCATCATCCCGAAGATGCCTAGCCAGGCCCGACTCGATCGTCCCAACCGAGTTGTCAAACAACCCCATTCACCACGTGTTTGATACCATCCAAAGCTCAATCAGTTGTTAGTGAAGTCCTTGTTTCGGCGACGAGGAGCAGACCGCTGGCTTGCCGAGTGCCAAACAGCATTGTGACAGTGCGGGCAATCAAACAAATCATCGTGGGCCGCGCCTTGGACAAAGGAATTGGCGGTTGCTTTCGACATGCTATCAAGCCCAACCGGAGACCTTGACCCTTGCTTTTACCCGATGTTTGCAGATATCCTGCATTTGTCCCACAAAGCTTCTTTGACGTGCCCGTGGTTTCGTAGGGCCGCGAAGAGTTACCGCTGATATTACCGCTGAGGAAGGGGAACCGCATCCAAGCCCAGCTCCTTCGACCCAAGACATGTAGCGACCTAACAAATCTCGCAATGTGGCGGCGTAGCATGGCACCAAAGAAGGTCAATGACGCTGAAATTGAAAAACTTGACCAGAAGCGACGCGGGAGACTTGGCCCTTGCAGCTGACCTGCAAGGCACTGACGCGGAACCAAAGCCGGGCCCCTGTTTTCTTGGTTCAGGAACAGCCAGGAACCAACTGAACCGGGATGATTCTAACCAATCATGATCCATGGCGATCCCGAGGCCTGGCTGGGCTCCTGCGCGCCGCTGAACACCTCCGGCGATCCGCCCCGCTCATCGAAAATTCTTTATTCTGCCGTGCTCCGCGTGCCTGGATGTCCTTGTCGCCCACAGGCCCGACAGCTTGTCAGACTGGGGCCGTCCGTCCCGTACGTTGTTCCACGGCGCATCGCTGGATGAGGGGAACTTGAAAGGCATTTGCAATGCCAAATACCGTGGCGCCCTGTGAGGAGTCGGCTGAGGACCGACGCGTGGTGGGACAATATGCCTTTAGTGCTTCACTGCTAATTGAAAGGAGAAGTATAAAAACGAAAAGTTGTTAGATTAAGGATGAACGACATGTTCGTCCGTATGGTGCGAACGGGCACGGATAGAGACGGAAGCAAAGATCCACGGTATAAATGTGCTGATGTGATAGAAAGCTGCAAGTATACCTACCCCCAAAGCATCGTCGATGTATTGCATACCGGTAGAGAAAAAGGCCCATTTGCGACTTGCCACAGTGGGACTTGGATAAAGAAAAAAGCCTCTTTGACAGGCCAAAAGCTTTTCGTAAAAGCAATGGTCACTCACCAATATGATGCCACAGACCTGCGGTTCTGAATAGAGATGCATACTCTTCCCCCTCCTTTTGGCCGGCCTCGGACGTCTGGCCTGGTTCCGCAAGCTCTCGGTTCAAAACGACTGGACGACCAGAATGATGTGATGAAGGTTGAGCAACCAAGGCTGACCGGTATCCGGTGTTCGATTTCCACAGTTGTTTGTCATGCATGCGAATAACTGATAAGATGTGGGGCATGTCGTTCTCGCAGTTGATATGCGGGCTCGGCAGGCTCGTCTTACGTTGGCGTCTCCAGAGGTCGGCAAGATGCACATTCGCCTTGCAATATGTATGGTGTCTTTGGACATGCAATGGTGCCTGTCATGGCCAGACTCTGGCAAAAACGTCGACTCCGCGTCCCACTTTGGTTGCCATCTTCGATTGATTGGAGATGTTTCTTTTCGACAAAATGCCTCTCTTGAATCCTTCAGGTGCGGGGCAGGCTTTTCTGAAGATCCTTCTTTGGCGATGCTGGCTGGACTTGGAGGTGCTGAAACTTGTTCATTTCTTATTTGCGGGTAATCGCGTACAGGAACAAGCCTTGTCTGGTGAACACGGGCTGGTCTTCGTCCTCAAGCTCGGTGATCTTGAAGGTCTTTCTGGCAGCCTTGAAAAACTGCATGTCTGCGCGGCGTCTCTTCTTGAAACAGAAGTAAACGGTGGCGTTGGGTTCAAGGGCCAATAGACCCTTCAGGGTCTGGAGGAGGAGCGGGAAGGCGGGTTCGAAGTAGACGCAATCAGCAGCCAGAATAGTATTGGGCTTGAGAGCAACGATTTCCGCTGGGAGTGGCTCGCCCCTATTTGCATCACAAGAGGTTGTCAGAATAAGCATGAGCGTAAGCATTCAGAACCCGAGCCCGAGTAACCCCATCCTGGTCGGGACCGTGGAAGAACAAGACTCCGATGTTGTGGAAAAGGCCACAGCAGGAGGGAGAGCGGGGAAAGCCGTCACACAGGACAGATTTGCTCACCAGTTGAGAATCATGGATTTGACCTTATCGTCGAGGCCATTCAGGGTGATGTTGTGTGCCATGAGCTCTTCCATCTCCAGTTGGTCTGTGATATACATGGGAGTTTCATAGCTGCAGGCTTTGGCGACTGCAAGCCCGACAAGGCCACCGCCGGCGCCAATCTCGAGTCTGGGGGAGATATGTCAGTGTCATGCCATGTGGCTGTTGTTTTTCGTGGCTTCATGTTGGATGAAGAGCCGGCATAAAAGGCACCTACATCCGAGCCTTTTGCAGCTTATCAGCGTGGTAGCGCAGCATATGCTTGGCGAGGGTCATTCCGGCCGGCCAAAGTTGCCCTCCGCATCCTGTCCTTAAATCTTGGTGGAGCTTCAAAGGCTCTGGCAGGAGTCCATTAAAGTCAAGAGCCGTATCGGTAGCAGCTTTGTACTCTGGGAGAGGAGTGAAATCCTGGTCGAAGGCCAATGGATCAAACTCCGGTGACAATGATCGGGATCGGGCGCTCATAGTTGGTGTTTTTGATATTTTCTCTCGGGATAATGCTGACAGAGCAAATTTAATGATTCGAAGAAGTCGATGAAATTATGCCGACTGTTGTGTGTTTTTCAAGCGAAAGATGTTGTTGGGCAGAAATCGTTATCTGGTATCATCGTCGTCGTTGCCCTGCGGTGGTCTAGACGCTCGGGCAAGCGCACAAAAAGTCTCCACCAAAAATCCCCTCCCTTCCATTTTGCGGGGTTGCAGAGACACCACCGATAAGAACGAAGCTTTCGACATGACACAACGGGAAGGCACGATCATTGAGCAACCGAACAAGACGTTGACGGGACCATCGGGATTGTGGTCGCTCTTGCCATTATAGTCAAGAGTAGAATGAAGCCGGGCTTCTCCGCACCGGAATATTGTCGAGCCGCGCGAGCGTGATCGAGTGTCTCGCTTCCACCACCAGGGCACTTGGAGGAAATGCTCAACACCTCCGCTTGCATGCGACTGTCATTTGATCGGCGATATCTTGCATCAACACCAAGTGGCCTCTCAACCTTGATGCTCGAATTCAACTTCGATCATGACATTTCCGTCTTTACCTAATTCCCCCTCGGAAATGTGTCACGATGGAGCGCCTCCCTGAAGCACGCGTCTCATGTGCCTTCATGTGGTAGCCGGTGTTCACTCCGAGGCCCGACTGGAATGCTTCAACCACTTCACCAACCCCATCTCAGAGGTCTCAATGCCAATCCCACATTTCTCAAGTGGGCTCGCGACACCACTATAGAGTTTCACTACGGCACTCTTCTCAATATCTATGTCGCGTTTAAAGCCCAGTGGGCGGCTGGTGAGTCGCGACTTGCCCCCCTCAGCAATCCCCCAAGAGCATGACGCAAGGGAACATGCCTCGTGAAGAAATTTAGGGTCAGCCTCCCTACTTTGAAGATTCGCGTTTCACTGTCTCTTATGTCTAGCTTGATGCCCTCAGAGCAGGCAGCTCTGGTGTCCATGATGATTTCTTCTTCCTTACAGTCTTTGTGAATATTGTTGTCGCCTCTGTTACTACGACTTGATACCCTAGGCAGCGGTTTGCTCGCCATTTTTGTCGTCACCATGGCATCTTTCACGCATCTTCTCACCTTATTACTTTTCGTTGCAGTATCTAGTGCTGTCCTTTCAGTCTACTTCCGTATCGGCCCCAGATCCCCCCAGTCGCCAGAATCGGGGAGCCCTTCTCGTTTGTATTCTCCAAGTCAACCTTTACATCACCATCGACTATCACTTACTCGCCTACAAACTCCCCCAAATGGCTCTTGATCGACAGCGGTGCTCGGAGACTCTATGGTACACCAAAGGAGGCGGATATTGGGCCGGGAGAGGTGGTGGATATACCAGTTGGCCTGGTGGCAACCGATGAGGCGGGCTCAACAACTCTTGACTTCACTCTGATCGTTTCAAGAAAGACCGGTATTGAACTCGATATTCCTCTCAACCAGCAGATACCAGAATTTGGCTTCTTCTCCAAACCCCACACCATCCTGTCGCCGCCGAGGAACCAGTTCTCTTTCGTGCTGGACCCAGAAACCTTCTCAGTATCTTCGGACAAGCCATTGACCTACTATGCAGTCATGTCGGGCAACACTCCTCTTCCGGCCTGGATATCGTTTGATGCTGGCCGGCTTGCTTTCTCGGGACAGACTCCAGCTTTCGAGGCTCTCATCGACCCACCCCAAACCTTCGAGTTCCAACTCCTGGCCACTGACGCACCTGGGTTCGCCGGTGCCTCTCTGAGGTTAACATTGTGGTCGGGAACCACAGAGTTACGGCCAATCAGACGACAGTCGTCATCAACGCAACTGCCGGGGAGCCCTTTTCATACGATGGGCTGCGGAACAGCATCAATGTTGATGGCCAACCCATGACTTCCGGCGACGGTTTGACCGTGGCCTCTACCTTCAATATCCCGCCTTGGCTCACCCTCGAGAAGGACAATTTGCGCATGACCGGAACCCCTCCAATGACAGAAAAATCAACAAACTTTACCATTGCGCTCAAGGACAGCTTTGCGGACAGATTCAACTTGACTGGCATGGTTCAGGTCAGGGGCACTCAAGCCCAGGGCTCCAGCATGTTGAAGGATGAGTTGCCTGTTATCAAGGGACAAGCAGGGGAGCACATATCCTTCGATCTTGGCCCCTACTTAGAGGACCCCAACAACACGGAGATAGCTATCGATGACAATGCCTCGCCCTCATGGATCCATGTCCGCGAAGGAACCATTTTCGGGGACGTGCCAAACTCGTCAAAAAATTCCATCATGAGCGCCACAATAAGGTTGACCTCCAAAATTTCGGAAGCATCAGAGTCAGTCTTGCTAAATGTGCACATGCTGGCGGCTTCCGGGGACACGGCAGACACCACAGGTACTGACTCAGATTCGGGTGCGACATCGACTGAGGATCCGGGCGGTACGAAGCCAGGTCGGAAACATGCACCCACTCCTATCGGACTTATTTTGCTCTGCACTATCCTTCCCGGGCTCTTGCTTCTCGGCGCCCTCATGGGCATGCTTATCTGTTGCCTTAGGCGACGGAGAGAAGCCAAGCGGCCGAAGCTCAGTACCCGTGATGTATCGGGCCCTCTCCCGGGAACTTTCACCATCAATGTCACAAGCCCGGATGGGCAGAGCTCCATGGAGCAGATAACGGGACCATACAACACGCAAAGCACGATAGGTCGGATGTCACTGGCTGAACAGGACCGGAAGAGTGACCCTGAATCGGGTACCAGCCGCGAACATAGCTTCGATGGCGACGTGCCTCGCCCGCTTAGCACCATCCGGATGCTGCCTACCAACGAAGAACTGCTACCGGCGAGCAGCAGTCTTCTGGATGTCACAGATTCACCTCTCATGAGTGGTGCTATTACCAGAACCCCACGGAATCGGCGACACGAGAGAACACAGACACTCCTCAGTCACATATCGGAGACTAGCTACTATGAGGAACACTCCGCCGGATTTACCATTGACAACACTTTGGAGTTCCTCGGCAACAGCAACACGAGAGACTCGTTTCGGGACGGTGTCGAAGTCGACATTCCGTGCCTTGGTGATATCTCTAGCATCCAGCCCACGCCTAACTCTGCATACACGGGTGAGTCATCCTGGAGCAAACTAGGCTCCGGCCCATCTGTCCACAACAGATCTCCTGCGATAGGCTCGGTTCACGATGACCCTTCAGGCACTTCCGGCTCCAACCAGCCATGCTTGCGAGAAAGCTGGTATGGCCTTGGTTCAAGGGTCGTGTCATCAGCATCAAAGGCGTTGCCGAGAAGTTCGGGAGGGCAGCGAAGACAACACAGGCCGGTCTGCCCAGTCTATCAAGCATTCAGGTGTCTTTACACGAAAAGACACCAGACACATCGCTGGTATCAAATAAGCAGTCTAACAGCTCAGGCATTCCCGACTTCCCATCACCGCCACAAACGACGAAGCGAGCCATAATGCCCAAGTATGAAAGACCGGTAACGAGAAGAGCAGTCGGCACAGGGCGTATCGTTATCCCACGACAGAGGCTAGTGTCGACAAAGGTTGAAGTAGTGGGACGCCCGGATGATAACAGCCACAAACCATCAGAGGACAGGAAGCAAGCTCCACCGACCCCTAGCTTCGACCGCCCTACCCGGAACTCACTTGGGATCTCGTATGCAGACATAGCATCCGACTCACCCTTCCACCAGTCAAGCACATGGTCAACAATACCCTCCAGTCACGAATGGCATGATGAGACGATACAGAGCCTCGAGAATGGCGACAGCTTGTTACCAAGTCCCAGTCACAGACGCTCAAGGTCAGCATCACAACCAAATTGGGCACCATACAAGGACTTGCTCTCCAACATCAACGACGCCGCAAGCTCTGTATACCCACAGAGTCAATGGTCGTTTGCCCCTATTCCGCGGCCCCAGCCTCTTGGTGTTGCGTCCTCCATCGCGTCGCAGGGCTTGTCTGCGCGAGCTCCTACGCTTGGATCTGTTGGATTTCCCAAGGCTCCTTCATCGTTTTGGTTGGACGGGGATGCGCATGGAGATGGAGATAAGGAAAACAAGTGGGCAAGTGCGACGAGGAGTGGAAACCCGAGGTTTCGGCCACCGCAGCCGATAGCATTGGTGACTTCCCAGAGCAAGGCGAGTTCGGATTTTGCGGTTTACATTTGAGTTTAATACCCCGTTTTGGTTACCCTTTTGTGATCTTCCTCAATCTCTGCTCTTGTGCGAGTATGGATATCAAGTTCAATGTTTAGGCGTGACCGTTGTTTTGCCTAGCAGGCCTAGCCAGCTCGAATTGTACAACCCACCTGTGATACTTTTACTTTTACCACAGCCCCAAATTTTAGTTCTTAGTTCCAAAGAATGCCGTCATCACGAACCAGTGGCGGCGAAAAATGGTGCTACAGTATGATATCAGCCGCCAGCAGCCCAATGCAATCTCATGCTGTGTTCCCTCCCTTGGTTTCAGTTCGAAACCCAATCCCATAACAATTTTTACCAAGTAGCACAAGGCCCAGGTCAACAGGTCACGAGAGAGATTGGTTTCCGCTTTCCAGTGTCTCGCAATGTGGCAATGGGAATCCAAAGCATGGAAAATGGAAAAATAGGGAAGTCAGGGATGAAAGAAAAGCCTGAACCCAAATGCCGGGTGGGTGTGTGTGTCGTCATCGTTTGACCGCACAGTCGGTCTCAAAGTAGTGTATTCCCAGCTGTCTGGGCTTTAGGGCTTCAATTTTTCATCCCTAGTATTCCTGCGCTTGTGCTTGCCGGCTCCTCTCATCGTTAAACCACATAGATAGCTACAAATAAATGATGAAACAAAACGGGATTTGGAACGAAAAATAAGAATGCGACGCGCGCGAGAGAGAGAGAGAGAGAAAGAGTTAGTGTCGCCCGTGTGGAATGCGATGGATAGCGAGTTTTTGTCCCTGACTGAACTGATGACGAAATTTGGAACTTCAATTCCATCCCAAGCCGGAAAGTGTGGATAGTGGATTGAATTTGGACGGCTCTGGCTCGGGAATTATGGATTTGATTTTGTAGGTTCGATGACGCCAACCCAATCTTGTGTTCGGGAGCCTTGGACATCCCGTCTTCCTTTTCGCCTTCCCTGGTGAGAACTGAACCTCAACAGAAAGAGGACACCGCTACCTATCCCGCCGTCACTGGCAAGAACGGCACTCTGCTGTACGTAACTGGCAATGACTCCTGGCTCTTACCTAGGCTACCTAGGCCTTGCGGCCTAGAGTCGAGCGGTGTCTTTTTGGGAATAGCGATCCGCGGGGTGAACTGCCATCTTGAGGCGGAGTCACAGTGTGCCTTTCGACCACCCGATAAGCTCAAGACTTTGACCAACGTAGCAACTTTCATTCATTCCAAAGTATCTTCCTCCGTGTCATCATCTCATAGTCAGGCACTGTACTGCGTGTTGTTCCTCCAAAGAGGAAACATCGCCTTTCCTTTCTCAAGTAACAACCATGCCTTCCCAGGCTCTAAGGCTCAAAGGCCCTGGTAGGTAAAAGAGATCAGTAAAATTCACTGATCTGACGAAGAAAACAACGACAGCAAACGGGCAACGAAGCGCTGACTGCCTTGAGCATTATCCTCTCTGAGAGTCGTCTCGTTCGACTCAAAGTCGCACAACATTCCCAGCTACCCGCGCGCCTTTCCCACAACGAACTTCGGCATCGAAATACTTAAAGAGCCAGATTGGTTAATTCATCGCGTGACCAACGATGGAAAACTGTCTCGAACTGCGCCCGTGTCTGCATCGTTTGATCTCGTCGAATGCCGTCCGAGTTGAAGTTAAAAATGCTTTTTTCCACTTTCAGCTGAAGCCTGCCAAAATGCCTCCAGGTCCTGTACAAGAAATACACCTACCAACCGCGGAGGCATCCGCACCCCTGCAGCTCATTACCCCACATTGGGTCTCTGTCTCTCGGCGGCTCGGGGTTGGTGAGTTTTCGTGCAGGACTGGACTCAGGTTAGGGGTCTCGCTGCTGCCAGAGGGGAGAGGAGCATCAACTGAAGGGTTCGTGGTTGAAACATCGCAAGCTCCAAAGATTTCCATTGAGCTTTGCTGCAATGCTTATATTCAAATTAAAAACTCAAACAAGGCATTTTACTTCTTGTCCAGACTGAACAACAATACTCCTGTGACAATAATGCCGTGACAATCTCGAGAAAGAATAGTTCACAGCTTTGGGGCAACGTCCACCCGCAGCAGCGCGGCGCGGCGCGGCACCTACCATAAAAGCTCAGCTGGGCTTTTGCGGGATGAAACAGCCGGGGAACCCCGCTTCACGACCAGCAGCAGTTTCTTCTCTGCAGGGCAGGGGGATTTATCTGTAGAGCTCAGGTGGTGACGACTTAGGTTCCTCTTTAGCTGCCCACCGGTCGGCCTCACCGGGGCGCGGGAACGCAAGGCTGACCAGAGGGTCCTATCGGTACGTCTCAAGATGAGATTGAACTTGGACCCCAAACCTGTGATCCGCGCAAGATATACCTAAACCCCATCGTACCCGACCTTTTATCTCTGCCTAAAGCTCTTTACGCTTCTAGACCTGATCATCTTGCTTGAATTGACGGCACATCCCAAAATCCCATACCGTCCGAAACCCTAATCATCACCGTACCGGACACCCTACCCTTATTCGACAGTCCCGTCAAAAGGTATTTTTGGTTACTTTGTGGAGTGACCTAGACTCTGTTGACTCCTAGCACCAAGACGGGCCAAGGAAAAATCAGATCCAACCAAAAGAGAAGAGTCACCATCACAGGCTGCCACTGAGAAAAACAAGGGCAACTCCTCTAGACTCGCATCCGGGCGATTACATAGCCTTTCCAACAGTCGCCGTCGCCATACACTACCTGCCTACATAGCAATCAGACTGTTCGTGAACCCTACGCACCTACGCGCGGATACCCGACCCAACATCATATCTGCAGAAAGAGCTACTATCGTTGCTAGTTCTAGCGTGCAGTAACATCTCGCAACCCGGCAGGTACTACAAAGCAGTTAGTCTCCGTTATCGATTGCCATCTGGGGCTGTTCTGGACCCGTAGCTCTCCAATCCACAACCCACCAGCCCACCCACACCTGTCAACCCGGACGGGCAGGGCCTTGCTGCCATACTACCAGACTGGGAGAGAGGAGAGACCTGGCTGCTGCACATCCATCTTCCCTCCAGCCAAAGAACCCAATCTTGCCAACAATCTGCTGCAATCCACTCCCGAACAGCAAACCACCACCAGACCTCCACCCCTTTCGATATTCGAGCTTCTCCTCCGCAAAAGTAACACGATTAAAGTTTAACTTTGTCACGAGCCTCGTCGCCGACTAATACCAAACTACCAACATCTACTCCCAAACCACCACTCCACATCTCATCATGGGCCAGACACTTTCTGAGCCCGTCGTCGAAAAGGTGCGTGGCAATCATCGTGACCACTCGTTCATCGTGTGAATGCCGTCCGTCCCCCGCGCCTGGTCTACCTACTCTTGACGAGTAGTACTGCCTCCATCATCTTTCCTCCCTGCTACAAGACAAGCACAAACACACGTCGAACCACTCCTCTACCACATCGCAATCGCGCGACCGAGCTGCCTCCCTGTTTGTCCTGCTCATTGCCGCCTGCCTTCGGATCGCCCAACCGTCAGGTCCTCGCGAACAAGACGCCGTGGCCTTGGTCCTGCTCTCTTCCCCCTCCTCACGCACCCATGCTAGCTGGCTCCTACACGCGCGCCGCTGACCGCCATCGGCTGCTGCCCTGAATCCTACCTACGCCGCCACCCCGCCTTTGCCCCGCGCGCTGGGCTGACCAAGCCGGACGGAAGTACCACGTGAAGCACAAACGCACTTCGCTACAAGAACCAGTTGGCTAACTCGATTGATTGTCTTTCTCTGAACCATAGGCGTCGGCAACTGGCGGCGATGAACGCCTCATCTACGGCGTGTCGGCCATGCAGGGCTGGCGTATCAGCATGGAGGACGCGCACACGACAGTCCTCGACCTACTAGCCAACAACCCCAAGGAGGCCAAGGAACACAGCCAAAGGCTCTCCTTCTTCGGCGTCTTTGACGGCCACGGCGGCGACAAGGTGGCATTATTCGCGGGCGCCAACATCCACGACATCATTGCGAAGCAGGACACATTTAAGACCGGCAACTACGAGCAGGCTCTCAAGGACGGCTTTTTGGCGACTGACCGGGCAATTTTGAACGGTACGATATTGAAAACCCCTTTTCTTGGCAAGCTGTGGGCTGTGTGCTGCGGGCTGTGTACGGTGCGAAACAAGAGAAAAAACGAGGAAACTAATATTCGCCCCCCTTATGTTGCAGATCCCAAATACGAGGAGGAAGTCTCTGGGTGCACCGCATGCGTCGGTCTTATCAGCGATGATAAAATCTATGTGGTGAGTTGTACTCGGAAGAAAACGAACCCCCCCCCCGGCTGGCGAACCGCTCTCCCTAACCCTATTTGTTTACTTTAGGCCAATGCTGGCGATTCGAGATCCGTACTGGGCGTAAAGGGCCGCGCGAAACCTTTGTCTTTCGACCACAAGCCTCAGAATGAAGGTACGCAGTTGCGCGCGCGCTCGCTGATTCTTGGGAGGACAAGGGCCCATGCTAACCAGTGCTTGTTTGTGATTTTCTAGGCGAGAAGGCTCGTATCACTGCCGCTGGCGGTTTCGTCGACTTTGGTCGCGTGAACGGAAACTTGGCTCTCTCTCGAGCTATTGGCGATTTTGAGTTCAAGAAGAGCGCCGAGCTGGCGCCCGAGCAGCAAATCGTTACCGCATACCCCGACGTTATGGTCCACGACTTTTCCGATGATGACGAGTTCCTCGTACTTGCTTGCGACGGTAAGAGAAGGCCAGATCCTGTGTACAGCCGCGCGTTTAGCTAACACACGTTTTCCCTGCAGGTATCTGGGATTGCCAGTCTTCCCAAGCGGTTGTCGAGTTCGTCAGGCGAGGCATTGCCGCCAAGCAGGATTTGGACAAGATCTGTGAAAACATGATGGACAACTGCCTGGCCTCCAACTCGGAGACGGGTGGCGTTGGCTGTGACAACATGACCATGATCATTGTTGGTTTCCTCAGGGGACGGACTAAGGAGGAGTGGTATGAGGAGATTGCCAAGCGCGTTGCCAACGGTGACGGCCCTTGCGCTCCTCCCGAATATGGTAGGGAAACACCATCCCCCTGACTGATCTCATCATCATAACACAAACTCCACCATATCATAACTTCCCCGTATTTCCCTATATCTCCCTCTTAAACCTTACGTGTACTTCATATAACCCAGCTCGTTTTCGATGGCACATACGCTCTACTTCTCTACCATTCTTATGAGCTTGACACTAATACCATGTCTGTTTGTTCCCCACGTTATAGCTGAGTTCCGCGGTCCCGGTGTGCATCACAACTTTGATGATAGTGACAGCGGGTATGATCTCGAGGACAACGGAAACAAGGGCAAGCCCTTCGGCATGGGTGGCTACAAGGGTCGCATCATCTTCCTCGGCGACGGAACTGAGGTCCTGACCGACGCCGACGACACCGAGATGTTTGACAACGCAGAGGAGGACAAGGATCTTGCCAGCCAGGTCTCCAAGTCCCCCTCAAGCACATCAGCGAACGATAAGGCCGCCCAGACGTCGGCTGCCGACCAGGACCAGAAGGAGCAGGCTGCCATTGCCGCGGCGGCGGCGGATAACAGCACACAGCAAAACGCCAAGAAGGAGGAGGGAAGCTCGCCGGCTAAGGCTTAGGTAGACCCAACAGCTGAAAGCGGTAGCAGCGAAGAGGAACCCAAGGAGCTGAAGGTGACGATCCCTCGGGGATGTTTTCCCTGTTGATTGATGGCATCTTTGATGATGAAGTTTGATATAGCAGGCAGGCGCACGCATTCCCCTGCGCTGCACGGGATGACGGGATTGGGCACGAACGCCTTATGATGAAGTTGTTGAAGTTTTGTTGTTGTCAAAGAGATTCTCATGAATGCAAGTTAGTAGTATACTGTTTTATGGAAGTATGGGTTTTTGCAGCACGAAGCCTGGTGAAGCGGGTGGTGGGTTATTGGGCTATTGGACCAAGACAGTGTGGGTGGAGAGGAGAAGGACGGGTCGGTCGATCGGTTGTTGTTGTTGCTTCACAAAGGGGATGATGGAGATACCAAACTCAAGCAAAGTCAAGTCAAGTCACGCCAGAAGATGATGCTTTTTATGACGATTACGTTACCTCCCTTGTCTGGAACCTGTGGATTTCTTGTACTCAGTGTACTGCGTAATGTTTGTATCGTCTACGCGAGTCTACGCGGAGCAGAGCATGTCGTGTAATGCCATGGGAAGGTTCAGGTGCTGCACGCTTGTATGGGTAGTGAACATCGCTGTCAATGTAAACTAACCCTTTCCATACCGGAAAACTAGACGAAGATCATAGTTACTATACTCCCTGCCTCATCTTGGTTATCTTAATTGTAGGCTTCACATATGTGAGAAGAGGCTCGGAAGGGTCCTGAGAGAGACTGAGAGGAGACTTGGAAAACGTCGAGGCAGAGAGAGACTTGTCACATAACTTGAGGCTTACAGACAGACATATTAGTACCCCTGGGGTTAGTGTTTGCTCTTTTCTTTTAGCTTTAGTAGTCTCTACTGTTACTTCATTTCTGTTCACCACTTCAACTTCTCTTTCGTTGAACCGTCACTTCACTTTCTATATTATTCACTTTTTGTTTGATTTTTGTTCCCTTTTTATTCAACCTTTATTCACCTTTATTCACTTTCCGTCCACTTTCTCTTTGTTTGAACCGACTCTTCAGTCTACCGTGCCCACCTACCTAAAGAACACGTTCCTACTGACTTACCTAGACTCTTGCGCCAATCCCGGCGTCGTCAGTGCCACAAGCCATCAATCAATCAATCAGTCCCACCACCTCCCATTTTGCCTACCTGCCAGCCTCTGAGCCTCTGAGCCTCTCCGTCATCCGACTTCGTCCCAACTGTCCATCAGTCAGCCTCAGCCGTGGGCAACCGAAAGAGCGAGCCCAAAGGAACTCAGATCAAACCCAAAATCAAACCCAATACGACACACCAACCCGGAGCCCGGATCACTCAGTCAGCAGCTTGATCTGAACTTTTGAATGAAGGGCTTTTCATACTTGATGCCTAACTCAACTACCCAACTATCTATCTATCCATCTGCCTATCTATCTGGCTCCCATGGAAGAACCACCCAGACGGAATACACCAGGCTTTGCCCCTGGCTAGGTAGTTGGATCGTTTGGATCAAAGGTGTTACGTGCGTACGCCATCCCGCTGCTTAAACAACACCTAGGTTGATTCTTTGGGCGGAACGGCCTTCATCTTGGATTGCGGCGTTACCATGATTCAAATAGCCGGCACTCGCGGCTTTGGCAGAGATTACCGATCGGGTGCTTTGTGACCGTAAGACAAGACGAAGGATCAATGACTGTTCGACACTTGGGAATTTGCTTCAGATCATAAGAGTTTCGCGAGAGAACTTGGAAAGTGACCAGTACCGCCTGGACTTGCAGATATACCCAATACCCATTGATTTTCATTACCGTTGTATAAAACCTAACCTAGGCCTAAACCTTTGTATCGTACTGTACTGTACTATAGTGATTGTTCGTTCGTATCTTGTGTGCCTTACTTTTGCTCTGCTCTCTTCTGTCATTACCACCACCACCGTTCACTTCCCTTTCCGTACCTTGTGTCTTTTCCCTTCGCCTTTGCAATCAACGATTCAAAGTCAACAACCCCTCAATATACCTCCTAGTATCCACACCAAACCCCTGAGCCAACTTGGTCGCTCCGTCTGCCCAACTGCCACCTCCAGCACCAGTACCCGCTTCATTACTAGCAGCAGCAGAACTACCAGCACCAGCAGCAGAACCACCAACATCGTCTGCCTCAGGCTTTCCGGTGCTACCACCAGCAACAGCACTCACAAAACTCCCAACACTACTAACCCCCCTCGTATGCCCAAGCTGTCTCTCAGCAACACCAACAGATAATCCAGTCCCACTTTCTCCCGCAGTAGCCTTCCTAATCAAAAAGATTTCTTTAGAAACCTCAACCATATCATCCCTCCTCCTTCTTCTCGAAGATGATGATGATGACGTGTTACTAGTGCCGCTAGCAGCAGAAGGATGCATGGAGGCGGGGGGCATGGCGGTTTCACTTGAATTATGTTCGTCGTGGTCATATTCTTCTTCTTCTGCGTCCTCGCCTTGTCCCTCGTTGTCGGCTTCGTGGCCAGGTTCGGGTAGTTGTGAATGGTCTGTAGGAATGCTGGAGATGGAGTCGTCTGATGCAGATGCGGATGCCGATGCAGCAGAAGTACCGGTGGGATCGGAAGAGCCAGATGGAGCAGTGGAAGAAGGACCAGAAGCCTCCGGATTAGGCGAAGCGGAAGCAGAAGAAGAAACAGGCGTCCTCCGCCTTCTCCTCAGAGTCTGATCGCTCGCTCTTCTTTCGCGCCGGGGTTTATTGACGTTGGAGAAGAACATCTCGTCTGTGTTGTTGTTGGAGTTATTGTTGGCAACTGTAGGTGACCCTGAAGCCCCTACTGGGGAAGCAGTCCTCGTGCCAGAACCTGACGAAGAGACGGACAGAATATGCTGGTGATGTCCTTGAGACTCAGCAGCAGCAGTCCGTTCCAAAATCCGGTTCCAAACCACCCACCACCCTCTACTCGTCTTGCAGGTCCTCTCATAACCGGTGAGGTTATCATCGCGGGTATTAACGAACATGTTGAGAATCTGATTATGTGTGTTCAACGCTTCGATGCGGCTCCAGGGTACTTAGCCTCTTAGCCGGTGCCGTCTCCGCGCCACCACCACCGACGACACCGGCAGCCACGGGAACGGGAGGTTCAGGGATGTTGGGGATCGTTGAGTGAACAGTTAACTCCTTCGGGTCCCAGACAAGATCGTAGATCTGCCCACTTCCTCCCGCTACCGAATCAAAGGGACGTTCTGGCCTGTAAGCCGTAGCTCGCAACAGCGACTTTCGCAGAGGAGCCATCTGCTGGTGCAAATTCCTGTAGAAGCCTTCGAAAGCGAGCGAGTCGGTGCGCAGCTGGAAGAGGAACACAAAAATGAAGGGACGCATGACGTAGACCACCACGCGCAGCTTCTTGGTCTTGTTGCGGTCTTGGCTGTCGAAGCTGGTGGACGCGGAGGTGATACCCGTAGTACCGACGCTTCCTTTGCTACCCAGCGATGACCCGTTTCCGAAGCCGGTTTGGTTCACGGAACGAGAGGTTACGGAGCCCGTTCTAGGGGTCGGCGTGGGGCTGTTGGCTGTTGTAACAGTCGTGACGCGGCGATGGCCATCATCATTAGTGACAGTCACTGTGCCAGTGCTGGTACCCCTGGGGGCTGGGTCTCAGCAAGCTCGGTGTCATGACTGCCAAAGTCCTGTTGAAACTGTGAAGCGCGACAGTTTTCGCCTTCACTTTCAATCTCGACGGTCAAAGTGCGCAAGAGCAGGCGCGAGTTCGAATCTTCCATATCAAGGGATCGATGGGCTGGGCGTCGGGACTAGTAGCAGGTGTACCGTCCAAGTCACCCATAAGACCGATCAAGAACTGGGAGTCCTTGGGCGGCTTCTTTGGCTTCTGATCCTCGACCTTGTCCTTCTGCCTTTCGGCGGGCTGAGAGCTGCCACCCATTCCCAAACTCCAATGGGTTCCGTAGCCCATTTTCAGGTAACTGAACAGATGGCCCACGCCTCCATGCTCATCCGTCGTCGTCGGGCTAGCTGGTGTCCCCGTACCCGTGTGACTTGCCAGATCCTTGCCTTTAGTCGAAGGGTGCAGCGAAGTAACCGGCCTTGGCGGTCCGGACGGCCTGCCATCTGTATCGGAAGTCGTCTTGCTCTGCTCTGCCTCTGACGGCGGTGTTGCCTTTGGTTTCGGCGGCGGCAGCCTCAGATCCGACACCTTCAACCCCGGCGACATGACCTCCCCAAGCGGTGCAATCTTCGTCCTGCTTTCCTTTTGTCTATGCTGCCTCCTCGGTGGTACTCTCGTCGCTGTGGGGCTCTCAATAACCCCGTACGCGTTCTCTCCCCACGTATACATATCCTCCATCCACCAGATGATCGACCGCAACGACTGCCTCGACAGCGCCCCTGTGCCCAAGAAAATTGCACCATCGTCTGCTCCGGGTTCCGCTCCGGTACCAAGCCACTCCGTCGGCTCTTTCCCTTCTTCACCCGGTTCTCCAAATTTGCCCACCACCAGATCTACTAGTCCCTCGACTCTGTCCACCATCCCCTCCAGCACCTCCCTCTCTCCCGAGCCCCGATCCTCTTCTCCCACGCCCACACCAAGTTCCCCGCTAGCAGCAACCTTGATCCCACCATAGATGTTGCAAGCCGGGTTGCCATGTAGAAGCACGTTCCAGGTGGACAGGAACAAATCCCAGTAGCGGCTGAGCAAGGTGACAAATTTAGGCCTTTGGGCGCGCACGAACAAGGACGAGAGGGAGCTGTCGTGATGGAGGAGGAAGCAGGCGTGGGCACGGAGCAGGTCCCTCAATAACAGGGCGGCGGGCTTGAGTTCGCGAGAGGAGTATTCGGCTTTTTGGTGTTCTTCAGTTGCTGTTGTCGATGATGCGCCGGCTCCTCCTTTGCGAGGGCTGCCAGGGATGGGCGACTGGGTAGGGGAGGCCGGGGTTTTGCTGCTTCCCGAGGACTGGTTGGGGAGGGGAAGACGGGTGAGGTCTATAGACTGTTCATTTCGGATGTGTCAGTGAGTTTTCATGCGATCCTATCTTACTTTGATGTTGTAGGTCATGGTGGTTTGGGATAACACCGAAAACAAACTTACAGCCAAAATCCACCACCCCGGCTCCAACTCATGGAGCACCACCCTACTCTTCTCGGTATCAATCGTATTAACCGCCTTCCCGCCCGAGAAACTCTTGCCAAACTCAACCATGCCCTGGGCCAGTCCTATCTGCCTGAGGCGCTCATTCTTCTCCTCTTGCGAAACGGCTTCCGTGCCAGGGGCTGTTGTTCCGGATACAGAACTTGTTGGCGCATGATGACGGCGGGAGCGTGATGATCGGTCCGACCGATGTCTTCTGCGCTGCTGGTCCTTCAGTGTCGTGACCGAGGCGTAGTAGACGATCTGGTCTTCGAGCGTCTCGTCCGTAGTGCCAAGACTGGGGTTGTAGATGGCTAGGAAACCAAGCTGGGCGGGGACGATGCTGTTGGTTTTTGGTCCTCCGGACGGCCCCGTAGAGGTGGCCGATGCCATGATGCCCGGTGACCTGGGTTAGGTACCGCTAATCTACCGACCGGGCTCGGAACGGAAGAATTGAAAGTGTGGATATCGATCGGTGGTATGCCCTTCGGGGCGGGGATGTCTGTCGGCAGAAGTGCGGGCGTGCGTGCGGCGGCGGAGGCTGGCTGTAGAGGCGGGGGTACGGGGTACGGGGTCGGTAGTCGGTGCGGGTACCGATGACTGGCTCCGATCGGTGGTCTGGTATGGATCCGTAACCGAAAACGGAACGAAGCTACGGAGCGGAGAGAGGACCCTTCAGACAGGTCGGGGTGTGGGTTTTGATCGGGGAGCGGTGAGTTTGACAAAGGCTGTCAAGAGCCAGACTCTCGGGCGCGTGATGATGTCGGAGGCTGTGTGATGGGTAATGCTCCACCTACACGCACGGCACTTGTTAAAGAGCTTTGGGAAAGAGTGAGAAGGGATGGTTCAACCCGTTGGTGTTTCGTACTCGTCACTACCCTACAACCCAGATGACAAAGGAAAAGACACTATCATCGAAGTGTCAACTGAAGTGTTGCTTTCAAAGTTGTCTCGTCTTTGAATTTTGTGACGATGGGTTGCCAGTTTAATAATTTCAGCTGAAGAAGACCAGACACGTTCATCCAAACGATCTCGGGGACCTTTTCACAATCGATGGCGATCGAGATGACCTGATTTGGACACGCTTCTGGTGGTCTGGTGGATAAGTTAAGATCCCACGCAGGTCCCGACCTCGTTAGCGATGGAGCCTTTGGGCTTGGGGGGGTGGAAGCTGAGCAAAATGGAGTGGATTGGAAAAGGACGAAGATACTGCCGGAATACCAGTACGAATCCGATGTCCGATGGGGGGCCACTGTCGTCATCGCTCTTCTCTCTGACTGGGACAAGGGCCGTTTCTTTAGTGGCACCTTAACTGCTGCTTGCTTGTGCGAATGGTGGGGTACACAACGGGTACCTCACAGGCGTCACCACTATCGTTCAGCCAACAAACCCCCTTTTTCCCATGTCTCGATTTACAGTTTCACCACAACCATGTTCGAAACATTTACCAGAGAAGCTATTTTCATGCTTCGTGTTTTCATGTTTATTTGGTATTGAACATACTTTTTACAGTCATTCAATTCGAGAATAACTTGATAATTAAAACTAATACAGCAGAGGGCGTAGTCATTCCGGCATGTACTGCCATGCCATGCCACGTTAAGGACACTTTTCCCTTTATTAGGCAGGCTTGTCCTTCTCCATTCTTGTAGATGCTCCCCGTCCGTCTGTAGCAATCTGAAAGGCGAAGAAGACCTCTGAATCAGTAGCCATTATATAAACTTGTTTGTTTGAGTTAAACCCTGTTTCCGTTCCGTTCACACAGAAGAAGTCCGTTTGTGAAAACCCCGGTTGTTGCTCTTAGTGGTTGTAGATAGAGTAAAGAGTAGAGTTGTGAAATACTCCGCGCGCAGATATCAGTAGCAGTAGTAAAAACGTAACCATATCCCAAATTCCCATAGTTCCACGAATACGCCGTCGTGAAATCTCTCTCGCTCTCCAAATGCATTGCTGGCCAACTTCCATACTCCGAGGGAATGTTTTGAGTCAATCAACATGCCTCCCACCCATGTCTTAACCCAAAAAAGAGCTTCCCATGTATTGTTGCATAAGCTAGCCAGCCAGCGAATACCCATTCCATTGTGTCATGCGTTGAAGCAGTAGTGATACAGCACAGGTGCTGTCAAAAAGAAATAAAAAAACCAAGGAGAGAACAGATCAACGCAAAAACAAACCCATGTACACGCAAAATAAAGATACGACAAATGATAAGGAGATGAAAACACCCAAGAAAAGAAAGACAATGCGAGCGCGCGCGAACCAACCAACACCATGGTATCTTCGAAAATTCAGGAGCCTCTCACGCTCCCATAGGCCCGCGCGCAATGAGGTTTGTCATCAAAAACAAAAAGATCAAAAAAAAAAAACAATACCAAAAAGAAAACAAGAAGAAACATGAGGTGACAGTCCCGTCGATGACTGTCATCATCAGCGTCGCAAGGTGCGGATTGGGATTGACATGGTCTAGACATCAATCTCCATCCTCGACGCGATATCCTCACTGACCCCCCGGTACGGAACATTCTGAGAGCGCCAACTTGAGCCCCCCTTATTGGTGGCGGCCGAAGTCGTTTGTTTAGTGTCATTGGCGTTGTCATCTGCATTCGCACCGTCTTCGAGGTCTTCTTCGTCCTCTTCGAAATCCCCCAGACTTTCGTCATCATAGTCGTAATCGACATCATCGTGATAGTTATGGTTGAAATCGCCATCAGCATCGCGGTTCCATATTAGACCGTCATCGGCCTCCATCTCGTCGTCATCCGCCATGACGCGCTCGGCGAACTGGTCTCCGAGCCAGTACCGAGCGCGCTTGTTGGCTCCGGCGTCATCGAGCTCCTCGTCGATCCCGTAGAGGACCCGACGGGGTCGCACGAGTCCTCCCTTTGCGGAGATGATGGCGTGGTGACCCGGTATTCTCGGACTATGGGACATGACCGGCATCCCGCGCACGTAGAGGTAGCAGACGCGCTTGAGAGTTTTGTTGAAGAAGAAGTAGTGGAGCGCCCAGATGGCACCTTCTTCCTCGTCAAAGGGGGCGTCGACGGGTTGGTATGAGAAGATGGAGCAGTCCTTGAGGTCCATCTCTTTGTCGATGGACGCCCACATGGCGGGGCCCCAGACCGGTGACATAGCGAGGCCCGAGGAGCCAAAGCTGGAGGCGGCAGCGGGCGAGGAGCCCATGCGAGGTATTGTAACGTCCAAGTAGGACGAGTTGGGCCGCACGCTTTGAAGGGTACTATCGATGTGGGCCATAACACGGCGCAACTCCTTCTCGCGCTTGAAGTCGTCGGGTCGCAGGACATTCGAGAAGTCGTAGTCGGGATGCGACGCATTGAGGGTGGCTATTAGGTAGGCGTAGGTGTTGCGGTTCGCCTTTTCGTTGAGGGAGCCGAACGGTGACGACCGCTCGAAGTTGATTGTCTCAGCGATTGATTCGCGCTGAGGTGGTGACAGTGACTTGCCAAACTTGATGAGGTTGTCATGTTGGGTTTGGAGAGACTGTTGGATGTTCTTGTAAAGACGCTTATCGGAACCCGCAGCCTTTGTTGTGTAGAGATCGCAGCTGCCAGTGATGTGACAGTCTGGTGTGTCGAAGTTGAGAGCGCTCGTCACAACATCTATCGCAGGAAGAGATAGAAACTGTGAAAGGGTCAATATTGCTTTCGACGATCAACCGCTTCTGGTATTTGGAGGGTAGCGGTGCCCGGTCCAACCGGTACGACGTATACTTGCCTTCATTTTGTCGGTGGTTGCGCTGGCATGCGACTTGTAAACGTGATTGATGTAAGGGTTAGGTGATGGAAGAACCTGGGGAAAGTGCGGTGATTGCAGGTGGTGTATGTATTATATTCGCGATGTGGTGCGACGAATAATAGGAGACGGTGAGAGTCGTAACAAGGGCGATGAACAAGTGGCAGACCCAGCTCCGCAATCGTTGTGGTCGTTGGTTGGAAGTGGGAGGGGTCGAATGATCGCCAGATGGGAGTTGTTTGAATGTAAGGTAGAGTGAGTTACCGCAAGGATATTGGGAGATATACCCGCTTTATTATTGTTTGTAGGAATTTTCAACCAGTGATTCTTGATCCCGGGTCGATCCGTGATGGCGCAACAGATTGATGCGAAACGTTGATGTTGGAAATAGGTGTTATTATTGTTGTCGGAAAAGGCGGTGCGGAGGAAGTGGGAACAGGGTTGGTGGTGAACGGGGGATGATGTGACCTATCTAGGTCCTCCGACGAGTCCGTGAGTTCGGGGGAAAGCGGTTAAGCTGGGATAATGGAAATCGTGCCTATCAGTTCACTGACTAAGTCCAGAATGTGAACAAAGGCAGAGACACGGGATGTATGATGTCTAGCGCAATGTCGAGTCCAGATAATGAAAGGGTAGATGTGGTGTAGGTAGAACGTTAGAAGTGGGGTTGTTGTTGTAAGTTGGCCTGATATGGAATAGGGTGATGATATCGTCAGATATCTGAGGAATCACTGGGTGATGTCCTGCTGCTTGGTTGAAGTGAGGTTGAGATCAGTTTGGCAAACAAGAGGTGGGAAAGGTGGGAGGAGGGACATCTTTGGAAAGATGAATCCCATGTGATGTTAACGTTTCCTTCCAAACCGAGTCAAACCAAGGGGAACGGCCGGGTATCGGTTCGGCATACGGCCATGGCACACTGACGCTTCCGTGGATGTTCAGCTTGGCTCCTCTTGTTGGTCATTGAAATCAGGGCCTCATCATCCAATGCTGGTGCCCGCCCGGTTGCGGTCTCGCTCCTTCCACTCCCTCCAGCCAGTGTCCTCACGCGGGGGCCCTCGTTAGGTATCTGACGTTTCAAGCCGTGCCATCAGGGCCAGAGCCAGTTCGCTGACGCTGACGGTAACAGGTGGGTGACCTTTCGGGTGAGTGGCCTGCTTGCGCCAGCCCACGTTGGCCTTGGCTCGCTGGGGATTGCTGGGGTGACGCTGGGGTCGACCCGCCAAAACCCCGGTCATGCGCCTGCTGGCTCCTCGAGTCGGGTGGAGTCGCACCCCCTAAATGATCGGCGTTCCCTTGTCACCACAATGTCTCCATTCCCACTCCGCCGTTCCGCCTGGAAACCTCCAGTCATCGTAACGAGTTCCTGTGTGTCAATGTGTGTCAATGTGTGTCAATGTTTGGTGTGTGTCCCGGCCTGAACGCTGTTCATGTTAATCATCGACCACAACCACCTGACGAATAGAGTATTCTCGACCCGCCACGAGCGTTGCTTGCGACGCTGATGTGGACAAACCTTTGGTGGGCATCAAGATAATGCCAACCCAACGTCCCCCGAGTGAGTCGACCTGTTTCTGCGCATGTACCCGACTGCGTGCGAGGTTAGAACGGATGGATCGGTATTGGCAACGCGCCGTTGAATCGTTGTTGTCAATTAGCACAACGCCGAGCCCATGCCCAGTGTACCGGATATGCAACCACTTGATTCCTCCCGCCATCGTCCATGACCAGGACATCAGTGGTGTATCCGGCCTCCGAGTGGCTCAGCTTTGGCAAGCTCATTAATCTACAATGCCCATATCTATATGATTAAGGAAAGGGAGTTTGCTCCCTCCTAATGGGTGACTGTAGCCCAGACGTCCTGCCACCACGCCACACCCTTCTCTTCCCTCGGCGCGATTATTATTGTCCTCCCTGATTGCATATGTCGTGTTCTTGTGCTTTCGGGTCGCCCCTCTTCGTCTATCCATCCGGTGCCGTCACCTATCGGAGGGAATGTGGTTGCTGCCACTGCTTCAGAGAATTCCAACCTTCTTGAGCGCGTTCTCAACCTGTTCCACATCCTGCATCAGGGATTCAGTATGCATTAGCGTGTGCTGCCAGGGTAAGTAGAACTCGACCAGTGGGTGGCAATCGCGAGTGTTTTGCGAGACTTCGGTCCTGGTCGGTGATGATTATGGAGAAAAAGACACCACAAGGCCTGTTCAGCCTTTACATGATCTTTGTAACTTCATCCTCGACCTGAGGAAGTGCAATAAATGTGTCAGTGAGTTCAGTGGTTTGCCATTAGGGGTCGTAACAGGGTGGGGAGCGTGTAGGCATAGCAACGCAGGAAGAATGAGGCTTCTGTCCGGGCAAGCGGTCACGGCTCCAAATGAAATAGTTGTACGCACCTCCATGTCCTCTAACGAGTCTTGTTGCGATATGCATCGTAGGACGTTCTTCTTGCTGCTTTCCTGCAACTCTCCCGCCAGCAGGAGTTCGTCAAGGATGTAGTAGGCCTTGGTAAAGGAGAAGATGATGTCGAGCTCGCAGACGTTGCCGTAGTACTTGTCCATCTGTTCGACGTAGCGATGGATGATCTCGAGGGTGATCAGCTCGTTGTCCTCGGAGGAGCATCCGGCGATGAAGAAAAGCGAGGCATATCGGCGGTAGACAATCTTGGTATCTGCAAACGAGCAAAGACAGTTAGCCACATCCGGCGACTCAGGAGAACTGGCGGAGCTTCTTGCCTTTGTACTCGAGAAAATTGCACATGCGAGTCCTCCTAGCCAGGACAAGCTGGGAAACGTCCTTGACGATCTTGGCCTTGTCCTTGGGAGACAGAGTGGTGAACCATTTGGCCAGGCGCTGGATATTTGAGGTGAGCGGTCAGCTGGGGGAAGGACACCGTGGTTGGGGACGAGAGCAACGCCCGCGGCGGGTTAGACGCACCACTTTGCCCTGGCGCGAAAGGAGGATTAGATAGCTGCAGAGCTTTGGGTTAGCTTGGGTTCCATGCGAATAGCAAAATCGCGGCAAACGGGGTACATACTGGATAGCCATGATGACGATGATTCCTCGAACTACCCAGGATCACGTTGAGCGGGAGTCAACAAAGTGATCATGGAGGTGTTGTCACGGGCGGGAAATTTGGACAAGGACACCACGCCGCCGACAGCCTGGACTCCTTGGAGCTGTCCAAAGGGGCGGGACGACGGCCGTCCAATGTGCGAAGGCAAGTGGGGCTCTGCATGGTACGGACGCTGTTAGTGTATCTGCTACTGCTCAGTTTCAGAGTACTATTAGGCGGCACTACAGTGCGTATTGTGTGCTTTAGTGCGCCAACACTTAACAGAAGCGTTAGTTCGATGATTGCCTGTGACAAGACAAGGGTTGGGAGTTGGACTCGATACCTCCTGTTGCCATTGTTGGATAAACCTCTCAGCGCAACAATGCCTCAACAACCAGGTTGAAGATACAATATCTCTAGTTGTTTATTTCTCAGTTTTCAGCGGTGTTTGGTTGATTTTATGTCATCTTCGGCCGGCATGACTCAAATAGTTCTCTTCCTCAGTGTTAGTGGTTGTAACAAGCGAACAGCAGCGTGGGAGAAGTACAAGGCTCCCCACGTTCTCTTCGCCTTTCTCTCCCACAACAAGACATTGTCAAACATCTGGTTGGTTGTCGCCCTCTTCTCCTTCAACGGCATCCCGCGTTTATATACACCGAAGTGTGCTTGAGAACGCAACCGGCAGTCATCAGATGCCGAAGCTGGCTTAGCTGCCGGTATTCTGGGAAATGCTCGCGATGTGCATTTCCGGCCTTGACAAGTTCGACTGGACTGTATGCACTTGTGCTTGCTCCTGGCGCCTTCCTTAGGTAGAGGCATGCTTCACCTAGCACAAGGTCAAGGTCCGAGAGTCGGATGAAGATCCCCGATTTATATCCTACAGATATCCCACATTGATAAGGTACTCTACTTGTCTTTCTGCTTGATACACGCTCAGTTTCTCAACAATGTTTTTTATCTCCTCGCCATTTTCGACCTTCATCTGTATCTTTAACCTTTCCTATCTCCAGTTACATTCCCCTACCATCGGCATCACAAGCTTACAAACAACAGAAGCAACTCCCATATCGGAACACCAAACCCGGACCCATGCCCATGAATCATTAATAATCGGTTCTAGGCTCCATTGAACCATAACAAGTCGGACCCCACTAGTCAGAAGTCTAAAGTTCAAGAGGCAGATAGATTCGTCTTGCGCCAGGCGAACCTTACTTTTTTTTAACTCATTCCCGAAAGAAAAGGGCTCCTCAGATTCAGCAGCCATGGCCAAGTTAATACTTTCTACCGGGTACGTCCCTCCCTCTCCCATTGTGTGGTTCCAGTGTCAGGCAAGATGGCGTGTGGCAGGGCATGTGTTTGTCTCTTGTCTCTTTACGTGTGCGACCTCGAGAGAGAAACTAGGGAAAATACTATGCCGCCGTTTGGACCCAATCGCTAATTGTGTGCTCAAACTTTTTTCAGAAACATCGTTTCCGGCGGCCCCTCCATCGTCCGCAAGCCCGGCGCATCCAACCTCGAACTCATAAACTCTTTGAAAGTCAGCTTTCAAGATGCGCAATTAGACTATGCCGACGAGATCGAGAACCTAAACGTGGACGTGAACGGGACGACGACAACTACAACGACCAATGGCACAAACAATGGCGTCCACGAAGCCACAAATGGCGATAGCAGCAACAGCAGCAACCCCGAGCCCGTCGCAGGCCCCCTCTACTGGACTGCGCAAGACCAGACGAAGAACACAATCTATGTCCCGCGCATCGATTGGGAAACCGCCGGTCTGCTCGAAGAGCGGTCGCAGTACGACATCACCGTCAAGATCTTCTTCCTGCCCACCACCACGCCCGACGTTTCGCGGCGGGCGGCCTACACATCGGAAGCGCTGTCACTAGTGCAAAAAGAGCTTGGCGGGATCTCAGATGTTGATTTGCTCGTCGTCTCGTTCCCGGGCATGTCCTTCGACGGCGACTGCGAGTGGGAAGCCGACAAGAGGAACGCTTCGCAAGGCGACGACGAGGCCGAGATCGCGACCTGGCAGGCGGCTGTCGAGGAGGCGCTTTACGCCCAGGGCCGTGTCAAGAGGCTAGGTATCTCCGAGTTCGGCACCGAGAAGCTGGCGAGGTTCATTAAAAGAGTGCAGGTCCCGCCCGCCGTGGACCAGATCAACATCAAGAATTGCTGCAACGTGCCGCCGCCGCTGGCGAAGCTGGCCAAGGAACAGAACGTGGAACTGTTGGTGCATAGCGATTGCACGGATATCTTGCCTGAGGGGACGCTGAGGGAGCTCCTCGGCCCTCAGGGAGCGGGTCTGCTGGCTGATCCTAAGGCGACGAGCAGCGAGGGCCTAAGCGGAAACCTTACGCCACAATGGGTGATTAAGTATACAGCTGTGGTGAGGAATAGGGGCGTGATTGAGAATAAGGGATACTTCGCTGGTGCTGAGTTGAATTGAGGCACTTTAGTATGGTAGGGGCTAGGGTAATAGAAGATACAAGACGGACCCAACGTAGCAAAGCTCGGGGTCGAAAGGGAGTTTTTTGGAGCGGCGGCAGGCAGGCAGGCATTTTGATTCTATTGATATTGATACCAATTGCGTTGTCTTCATTTTTCTTGGAACGAATGGGATTCTGGTTTTGCACGTTTCGCAGCAAGTTGACTGACAGCTTCAGCGATCAAGGTCCTTTTTACGGACAAACCATCATGGCAATCGTTCGTTTATGTGTATTGAGTATAAACCCCTGGGTATCTTTTTTCTCGCCATATCGTGCAAAGAAAGTCTACACCCTCAACCAATCATGCTCCTCTTCCTTCCACGCATCCTCACATCCTCCAACTTATGCAGTACCGACACTCCCTTCTTGCCAAACGTCTGCTTATAACTCTCCAGCAGATGCTCAAACAGGTTCTCCGCGCGGGGATGTGTGCTCGCGAACGCCCTCTCAAGGACATACAGATCTGTCGCCCTATCCTCGTCTGACTGGCTCTGGTTCGCCAAACCAAAGTCGATAATCACCACATCTCCCTCCAACAGCTTCGCCTTTTCCTGTGCTTCCTCACTTCCCACCCCATTCACCCCATTCGTCTCCTTCCCCTGGTCCGTCGTAGACTTGGCAGGTGGCCTCAACATCATATTACTGGTAGTCAAATCCCCATGCACCACGCCCGTCCTGTGCAGTCCCGCTATCGCCGCACCAATCCTCTTCATCAGCTCCACGAGCGGGCCCTTCTCTTTTGCGTCTGCCTCTTTTTCCTCCTCCTCGTTTCGGGGCCGCTGGCCAAGCCACTCGTTGATCTTCACCCGCACGGGCGCGCCCTCAATCCACTCCACCGCGATCCAGCCCGCCGCGGCGTTCTGTGCGTACACAGCGGGCACGGGCACGCCCTCGCGCCGACACCGCTCGAGAACTTTGGCTTCGAAGGCTAGCCGCGCTTTGGTCAGCCGCGCGTCGAGGATCGGGTGCCGGTAGGGTTTGGGGGGTCGGTATTTGAGCGCGCACGGGATGTTGGGACTGAAGAAGGTTGTCTTGTAGAGGCGGCCTTCGGCGCCTTGGGTTATGAGGATGGGAGGGGTGGCGGAGGGGTGGGTGAGGATTGTGGGGAGGGGGAATTGGTGCTCTTGTTGGTCTTCGATGGCCGCGGGGGCAGCGGCGGCGATCGTGTCGGTCGCCATTTTGCGCTTTTTGGTGGGGGGTGATTGGGGGGAGGTGTCCATCAATTTGGTAATGGTATTTTCGGGATTTTGTGCTGGTTTGAATGTGCGATCGGAGTCGGTGATGTGGTTGCGCGTGGAATTGTGGTGGTGGTTGTTGATTTTCGCGAACTTTTGTTTTCCGTTGGCTTCAGTTGTCTGCAATTGCGACGGATGGAGGGGCACATTCGCTGGGAAAGGCATGGCGCCAAGACCCAAGGTACTATCCCACACAGGCGAGACAGGATAAGCACGAGGCAATATTGTTAACACTGTGCCGCTGAAAGCCAACACCAAGAGCGGCCCGTTGCCCGGTGAGTGATCTCGACTAAACCCTGAACATCCCCATATCAACATTGATCAACCTCGCAACTTTCGCAAATGTCATCAACTATCGTTTCCCTCAAGCGTCTTAATATTTAACCTCAGTTTTAGAAGTTACTCGTTTCGCGTTAGGCATCGGATCCTCTGCAAGACCATTCGCGCTGAAAGGCTTCATCCTCCTGCCAACGCAGTTGCCTGTCGACTATGTAAAGGGAGAACCTGAAGTTTCGACCTCGATATTGTCTGCCATGAGATCATTTCGGTCTCTAAAGCATCAGGGGAAACTTCAACATGGACTTTAGAAGATGTTGGTTCGATCGGTCAAATGGCTAGATTATTTCAACGGGTCGTTTATGGCCAGTCCGGATGTTGCGAGTTGAAGTCAGAAAGACTGCATGCTTCGATGCTCGCACATCAACCGCACATTTCCCATCTTACCCTCCTGGGCGTACCCAAGAGCTCGAATCTGCCCTCGGCATCCTCAAGCTTTCCATAGACCAAAAGACGAAAAAGGAAGCAACATACAACACCAGGTTATTCGCC